ATTTTAATAACTTTCTTAAACTATCCTGGATTTCTACCAAACTTGGACAGAAGCTTGTTTATGATCATAAGATAATATTCAAAAGTAAATTTTGTAAAAAAAAAATTCCATTTTTTCCGTATTTTACTTATAAATGGACTTAGTTTTTCTGCCAGTTAACATTACATTCACTCTGTGGTTAAAGTTTTTGAAATCTTAATAACTTTCTTAAACTATCCTGGATTTCTACCAAACTTGGAAAGAAGCTTGTTTATGATCAGTAGATAGTATCCGCCTGTACGAACTGTGACGCCCGTATATGACACGGAAACCAGGCGTAAAAATCATACTTTAACCGGGCGTCATTGCAGTGTTTAAGGAATGCATGTCCAGGCGTCAACCAGGCGTAAACCAGGCGGAAACCAAGCGTAACTGAGGCGGAAACCAGGCGTAAAATTAGGCGTAATATTTAAATGAGTACGCCTGGTCCAGAGAAAACCAGGCGTAATATGCAAATGAGTACGCCTGGTCAATAAATAAACCAGGCGTAATATCCTTATATAATACTACACTTATTTCAAATCAGTGTATTACCTTAACTGTGTACTTTTGTGTATTTAATGCAAACTTCTGTACTGTTGCTTTAATTTCTCATTATTTGACATAAAACTGGAAATATTAACCATTGAAGAAGCTTAATATATAAATAAATACATTTTAGACAGACACTGGCTCAAATAAGTTTAAGTTTAAATAAGAATTATGACAATTAATTTTTCTTGAAATAAAACTTCTGCATTTTTATTAACTAAGATTTTATAAATTAATGTCCTTTAAAATATAAATGATAATACTGCAATTTAACTTCATGTAAAAGATTTTAATGTTATTATCCAAGGATAAAGGTTTTTGGATTTCAAAATTACTGTTAGAACTTAAAACTTAATAACTTAGGTAATATACTCACATAATTATTATTTACCATGTATTATATTCCATTTTTTTCACAATTTTTATTAATCAATTTGATTCCATATTTCCAAATTCTTCCAAAAAGCACAAAACAAGCTAATTATCCCTGAATGTATGAAGCTGCATGAATAAGTCCAACTCTTGCAAACTAAAACCAAAGAGCCAAATTTTGAAAAAAATTTCCCATGATCCTTTAAACAAAGCATTATGGGTATTAAAGTTTACGCCATACCAACAGTTTTACGCCCGTAAGAAAATTTACGCCTTGCTTATTTCAATTTACGCCAGGTTTACCACTTTTTTCTACGCCCGTAAGGACTACAAATTTACGTTTCCTGCTCCCTTACGCCTGGATCGAGACACGTAACTACTACTTACGCCTGGTTTACGCCTTATTTCCAGGCGTAATACGCCTTATAATTTCATACGGGAAGCTGCTGAGTGAGAATTAAATTTTGTAAAAAAAAAATTCCCATTTTTTCTGTATTTTACTTATAAATGGACTTAGTTTTTCTGCCAGTTAACATTACATTCACTCTGTGGTTAAAGTTTTTAAAATTTTAAGAACTTTCTTAAACTATCCTGGATTTCTACCAAACTTGGAAAGAAGCTTGTTTATGATCAGAAGATAGTATCCAGAAGTAAATTTTGTAAAAAAAAAAATCCATTTTTCCGTATTTTACTTATAAATGGACTTAGTTTTTCTGCCAGTTGACATTACATTCACTCTGTGGTTAAAGTTTTTAACATTTTAACAACTTTCTTAAGCAATCTTGGATTTGTACCAAACTTGGACAGAAGCTTGTTTATGATTAAAAGCTAGTATCTAGAAGGAAATTTTGTTAAAATTTTGTACCATTTTTTCCGTAATTTACTTATAAATGGACTTAGTTTTTCTTCCAGTTAACATTACATACAGTCTGCAGTTTAAGTTTTTAAAACATTTATTAGATTCATAAACTATCCTGGATTTTTACCAAACTTGGACAGAAGCTACTTACAATCAAAAGATAGTATAGAGAGGAATTTTTTTATTAATTTTTTTCCTCATTTTTGTTGAGCCTGCGATTAACAGCAAAAGTAGGCGAGACACTGGGTTCCGCGGAACCCTTACGAATTTTATCCATAGCGGCCATGTTTTTTGACGAAACAGATTTTTATACTAGATACCCTAAGGATCATTCAGCTTAAGTTTAATTGAAATAAATTGGACCAGTAGTCATGGTAGTTTTACACTGGACGGCTGACGACAGACGCCAAGTGATAGCAAAAGCTCACATTTCCTTTTAGAGAGAGAATGAAATGTTAACTGGCAGAAAACCTTATTAAAAGTCCATTTATAAGTAAAATACGAATAAACAGGATTTTTTTTTTTTTACAAAATTTACTTTTTAATACTATCTTATGATCACAAACATTAAAGCTTCTGTCCAAGTGTGGTACAAATCCAGGATAGTTTAAGAAAGTTATCAAAATTTGAAAAACTTTAACCACAGAGTGAATGTTATGTTAACTGGCAGAAAAACTAAGACCATATATGAGTAAAAAACGGAAAAACAGGATTTTTTTTTTTACAAAATTTTACTTCTGGATACTATCTTATGATCATAAACAAGCTTCTGTCCAAGTTTGGTACAAATCTAGGATAGTTTAAGAAAGTTATTAAAATTTTAAAAACTTTAACCACAGAGAGAATGTAATGTTAACCATTGTTAACTGGCAGAAAAACTAAGTCCATTTATGAGTAAAATACAGAAAAACAGGATTTTTATTGTTACAAAATTTTCTTCTGGATACTATCTTATGATCATAAACAAGCTTGTCAAGTACAAGTATTAAGTACTCATTATTGAGTTTAACTACTATATCTAAGAAGAAGAAGAAGAAGAAGCTTCTTGTGGAGAGTTGTCTCACTGGCAATCATTATCCACATCTTCTTTTTTATATTCTCTCCAAGTTTGGTTGAAATGCAGGATAGTTTAAGAAAGTTATTAAAATTTCAAAAACTTTAACCACAGAGTGAATATTTGTGGACGCCGCCGCCGCCGACGCCGGCGGAATGTAGGATCGCTATGTCTCGCTTTTATGACAAAAGTTGCAGGCTCGACAAAAATGAATATGACCACTTAAATTGGAAGGCTTCTTTTGATTTCTTGCTTGGACCAGGTGCGGATCCAATGTTTGGACTGATACTTGTAATAAAAAGTCTATGCATTTATGATTTTATCATTTATGTAGCTCCAAAAGGGGTTCCAGAACCCCCCCCCCCCCCCCAAACCTAAGTCCACATTTCCCGTGTCAATTGAGAGTTTTTTTGGTGCTTCTATTATCTAAAACCATGAGGAATCTTTAAAAATTAAACAAATACAAGCAGAGTGTTGGACAATTTCTTTTTTTTTACTTTCACTTTGCCTTCATAAAAATTAAAATTGGCTATTGATTCACGGGTAAAGAAAGATATTGAAGATTTTAGTTCGCAAAACCTGTTTGATAATGATAACAAGGACTTTAAAATATTGTAAGGCTTTACCTCAAATCTAAACAGTAAAGTACAGGACCAGGAAATGTTTCAAAACTCTGAAACTCGACCCAAAACACTCTCCCAGCGAATTAACCAATCAGTAACAAGAACAATTAAAACGAAAGTAGGAGCACATGTGGAGATAACTGGTGTTTTCTAAGGAAAGGTAACAATATTCATAGAGGCATAGAGTCTAGCACAAATCAAAAATAATATGAAAATGCGTTTATTCATTTATTTACTGTACATATATTTAAAAGAATTAGATTATACTCAGAGATTATGTAAAATAACGAAAGAAGGAGCCCATTCCTTCTTTCAAGATCTTTTGTCATATTCTTATAAGGGTGAGCTATTTTAATAAATAGTGCAATATATAAAATTATAGTATACAGGACAAACTACTATTAATTTGAAACTAGAATACAAATATAATAAATATTAGAATGCATGCAGTTATTGGTACAGTGTAAGGGAGCTACCATTTGATATTTATGGGGGCTTTATAAAGGATGAAAAATTTTGTCCTGCATTTTTTTTTAATTTGTTATCTCTGTCCTGCCTTTTTATTTTTCACTCTATTCAGTCTTTTTTTTTTTAGTTTATCCTGACTTTTGTTTACATAAGTTTACATAAGTTGTCATCCTGCCTTTTTTTTTTTGCAAAGTGTCTCTGATAATGAACTGCCTTTTTTTTTACTCTAAACTCCTGTCCTGCCTATTTTTTTCAAATTACATCCTAGCCCACCCCCTCATAAAAATCAAATGGTAGCTCCCTAAGTGAAATACATGATTTCAGATGGTACTACAAAATACATCGAACATTTAAATTCAAAGCATTTATTATTACCAGTGGAAGATCCAATTATTGGGAGGGGCATTACACCTCCTTTGATCACCCCACCCTCCAAAATAAAAATAGAAAAGAATTAATCTCATGTTCCTCACACTTCACGATTTATATAGTGTTTTTTAGCATTATATTGCAAAACAAATTTCAGAGAATATTAATATATGACTTCTCCAGTCATGTCCAGTATCATATTATGACTCAGTATGACACCTCTATCAACTAAATACCTATAGGTTTCATAACGAGTGAGAATGGGATATCGCTTGATATCAACTCGAGTTATCTAATTTCAATTTTATAATGAACGAGCCATCATCAAGATTATTATTACTATTTAAATTAAATAACGAGAGTTGATATCAAGCGATATCCTATTCTCACAAGTTGTTAAACCTATTTTTTTTATGGTCAACATTCTCATTGTGTTAAATTAAAAATTCCTTGAATTTCAATATAATAATAAATGAGCCATCGGCGAGATTATTATTACTATTTAAATTAAATATCAAGAGTTGATATCAAGCGATATCCTATTCTCACAAGTTGTTAAACCTATTTCTCTTATTGTCAACATTGTCATTGTCAATTTGTGTTAAATTAAAAATTTAGTGTATGACGTCATATGTCCTTTTTGGTGTGTCAAACATCAGACATTTTAAGACGTTTTGTATGCTTCAGAATGTAATAAAATTCGACAACAAGAAGATATTCAGGCGAAAAGTGTGAGTGTTTATATTATTGTCTGTTACCATGGACGAAATGTACATCGTCCTAACCTTTGAAAGTCATCAATGACCTAACGAATAGCCATTAAAAATGCTGTAATATCGTCTTATGATGCTGGATAAGCCAATCAAAGTAACACAGATTTTCGTATCACACCCTGTGCAGTGTGATACGAGTAATATCTATTCATACAAGAAATAGATAACAGGCCACCACCATAAGAGAAACCAATATAAGCATTAGAGCTTTCCTCAAAGGATTTTTATACAACCGCAAAAAATTTTGCGGTCATATTTTGGTATCACTTCGTCGGCGTCAGCGTCAGCGTCGTCTGAAAAACATTTGGTTTCCAGACAATAACTTTAGTATAAGAAAATAGAAATCTATGAAATTTAAACACAAGGTTTAAAACCAAAAGAGCAAGGTTGGGATTGATTTTGGGGGTTATGGTCCCAACAGTTTAGGAATTAGGGGCAAAAAAATGGCCCAAATAAGCATTTTTCTAGTTTCCAGACAATAACTTTTGGAACAGTGTATGGATCTCTCTAAAATTATACCACAAGTTTCCATACCTCAAAGGGATGATTAGGATTGGCTTTGAGGGGTTATGGCTCAAACCGTTTAGGAATTAGGGGCAAAAAAGGGGGGGAAACAAGGGTTTCCTGGTTTATCATGTTTATGGACAGTTACTTAAGTATCGGTCTTTGGATCTCTTTGAAATAGATATTGGACCATTAAGCATTATATAAGGGATAACATTGATTGATGATATTTCACAGTATATAGTAGAGAACAATATTTTGGGATTTTGATTTTGAGAAAGCTTGCTTTATGTTGGGAATAATTGCTATAAGTATTACAATTTTTCATGCTATTGTATATTACAATGTTTTTCATATGCTGAATCTAACTGTGTATTTGTTTGTTGGGCCCATTTTCTAATTGGTCCAAATTTTGGTCCTAATGCTATAAAATTTGTTTTGTTTGATTTAATAAACATTAAATAAAATTTAAAAGATAATAATTACAATGTTATATTTGAATTACCTCCCTTACATTGCTTTTAAATTATATAAAGTTGTCTCTAGTTCTAGTATGAACTTTTTTTTAGCTGTTTCTAGAAACATCAAATACTGTGATGGAAGTACATATAATATGATAATAGTGTATATTTTTTGGAAAAAGGGGTGGTGGGGGGGGGGGGGGGGGGGTCAATTTTTCTTCAAGATTTATAAAAATTGTCAATTTTCCCAAGAAAAATTGTGTGAAACAATTGCTAATTCTTTGTATATTGTCTGAAAACAGATTTACAAAGTATTGCGCAACAGCAAAGTGTGTTGCACAAAAGCAAGAAATTGAATACAAATTCAAATCATATAACCAATTCTAAGTTCTATGACTACAGCTATTCTGTGTCAGATACCTATTATGTGTCAAATATTATTTACAATCCAAATTCAGACCTGTATCAAGCCCGAATATTGTGTCCATTTTTGCCCCAACTGTTCAGGGTTGGACCTCTGCGGTCGTATCCAGCTGCGCTTGGCGAAGCAATTTATTTTTGTATGAGCTAGGGTTGATACAGTGTGAGATAATGAAGAAAACATATCATTAACAATTTGTTTTATAATACTTTGTTTAGGCTATCATAAACTCTAGCTTCTGATCAGAAGCAAGAGTTTATGATAGTTCAAATATATATATCTTGCATAATATTTCATTTTTTATTAAGGTCATAATAAATGAAGTCATTACAGAGACAAGGATGCTATGAACTTCTTCAAATCACAAAATTTATCACTGGGAACATCATTGGTCATCCATCATGTCCATACCTATTAAATGAATCACAGAAGTCCACCAGGATAATTAATAACTGTTTATCTAAAGTGTCGATAAGAACAGTGTCCACTGCTTCAATACATCACAGAAAATATGGGACAGTATTGCTTTCTCCAATACAAAGAACAAAATATTTTGATGGACACAGAGCATTGTTGTTCCAACAAAGCATGCAAAGTGTAAAGCTGTTTTCAACTGATACCATGTGTAAGAATCAGTCTGATGTAAAAGAACTGTCAAAATTTTGGACAAAAATGTTTGAAGAAGAAGGTGTGTCTGAACCTCAGACATCTGCAGAGCTTATTATTGCTCATGCTCTTGGAAAGAAAATGGTAATTCATGTGCAATTGTACATGTATAAGAATAAGAGATGTGTTAGGATTGCCAATGAGATAATGTTCCACTAGAGACTAATTGATGTAGAAGTAATTTACCATATGGCCTTCAAGAAAAAGCAAAACCCATACCACACAGCAAGCTATAAATGACCCCATAAAGACAAATGTAAAACAATTCAAATGAGAAAACTTAAGGTACCAAAAACCTTGACTAAAATTAATTTGGCTTGTTTAATTTTTATAAAATTTCGACAAAATATTTACTTTGACCCTCTGACATGTCTGACAAAAATATAAAAATTTTGAAAAACTTGAACCATTACATTATCAGAAAAATTTCATTGGATATATAGCAGTTTGACAAACACTAATTTTGATCATTGAGAAGCTTAATATTTCCTTAACAATAAAACGTGATTAAAACTTTCATCTGAGTTCATCTCCCTGTAGTGTTATGTACCACCTTAAGACCTGATTTATTGACAAAACAATAAACGAAAAACAAATATGATATACATCAACAAAAGACAACCACTGAATTACAGTCTCTGGACTTGGTACAGGCACATACAGAAAATAGTTTATTAAAACCTACCATTTAGAAAAGATTAAAAGTCGACTCATGGCAGCTCTCCTAATTATAAGAATTGCAAAATGATTGATGTGAAATGTGGTTAACAAGGACAAAAAGTAAAACATTAACACTATTTGGTATCATCCATAAAAGAAAATCAACCATTTATTCATTGATATTTATTAGTTCAAAAAAAGAAGAAGATACCAAAAGTGTGTATTCTTTTGTTCAACATATGACAAAATTGCTTACTTTTAAACTCTATATTTGTGATTATATTAAGTGCATTCCTATATCATTTTTGTATATATTCCGCTTTGAATTATATATCAGCAATAAAATTTGTATAATAATTTCTCGACAAATGTGTGATCGATTTTACTTTTTACAGTTGCATGAAGTCCCACCAGAATATACAGTTGACCTTTCTACAAATTTAGTTATTCAAGAACTATGTCAAAGGAGATTACAAAGGTTAGATTTAAAATATGCTTTAGGGACTTTCCGTCATTATTAGACAACTAATAACATTAATGGTACCTTAGATTTTTACTGCACCAGATCTGCATTTCGACAATTAATGTCTGCATTCCATGTTTCATATGCCTTTAGGTGGTTGAATTCTAGAAGATTTTTCAACTACAGGGGTACTGTCATGACTGGATTCATAATTATTCGTGGGATACCAATTTTCATGGACTTCTTTGGTAAAAAAGAACCACAAATTTAAATGTCCAAAGAAAGTACAAATTTCAGACTTTGGCAAAACCACGAATTTAAATGTCCATGAAAATACAATTTTCCCTCAATCCACAAAAATTGGTACCCACCAAAATAAATGAACCAACAGTATCACCAAATTCTCTATTTTTGGCTTTTTTATTAAGAGGAACTTAATTGACCAATCTTGCATTGTTGCCAAGCTTAGGATTTATACTAACAACAATTTGTCGTTTGTTTTTCATGCTCAGATGACAGTCTAAACAAGTGACTATTGATTATCAGGCAAGGATTCATGATTTATTTATTTAGAGGGCCTTGGCCAACCTTGCATTGTTGCCAAGCATTATCAATCTAAGATCCCTTCCTAATGTGTTTATCATGTTAAGTTGACAATCTAATAAATACTTAACCAACATTTAAAAGGAAGGTACCACAGGCACTTGTCTCTGAAAAAAATTCTCAATATACTTTAATACCGGTATATCACATCTAAAACGTACATGTATCTTCTTTATTAAAGGTTAAAAGACAGTTGATCCAATAAAATAACCTGAATAAAACTAATTTGACTTCTCTTAATATAATATTGAACTAAAAAAGTCAGCTAAAAGTCTTTATTTTTTTTTTTTTTAATAATTTTCAATTTTAACAAGAAATAGGAGCCATATTTATGATATTGAGGCTTCATAGAACCTTCTCATTCTCTACTTCAAATATCCATTCATGTTTAGGTTATTTTTTATTTACAACTTTTAATGTTGATTTTGATTAAAGAGGCAAAAGGTACCAAAGGACATTCAAACTCATAAGTTGAAAATAAACTGACAACGCCATGGCAAAAAAAGACAAACAACGGTACACAAAACTCAACATATAAAACTAAAGACTGAACAATACGAACCCCACCAAACACTAGGGTCTATTTCAGGTGCTCCGGAAGGGTACTCAAATCCTGCTCCACATGTGGCACCCGTTGTGTTGCTCATGATAAATGTTATATACATAGTACATGTATATGCAAATAATTAGATTTTGGATGTAACGTGTGTTCTGATCAGCTGAAAGTTGTTTGTCACATGACCGTGACGTCATCATAATTTTTTCATGATATAATCCTTAACAATGGAATTTTGAATTAAATTATAGGGAATGACTGTAATATTTTTCTGTCTATTTTTCGAAATAACAAAAAATGTGGTGCACATTTTTAAATAACCCACTATTTGGTGTTATTTCTTCATAGACAGAAAGAATATTACAGTCATTCCTTACATGTCTAATAATATATCACTAATTGTTTCATTTTTTTCTATGACTTTGTATAATGTGATAAAGTTTGAATTTAAGGGTACCAGTACAGTACATCATTGGAGAATGGGATTTCCATGATCTTGTTCTAAAGATGAAGGAACCAGTATTTATACCCAGACCAGAAACTGAGGTAGCAATTGGTTAAGTATATTGCTTCAATTGTATGAATTATCTCCCTTATGAAACTAATTATTTTAAAGGGAGATAATTTGTTTTCTTCTTTTGGCTTTAGGCCATTTGGATACCACAGAAAACAACCAATGGCCAACTCCTGGAATAAAAATCACAACCCCACACCCAAAGACAACAGTAACAAATATTTGGGCTGGACAGCTTGATTTAGTACAGGCACAACATGTGGAGGGGTTGAAACTATTTTTCCTGTAATTAAACCTTCCTATTAATTAATTGATAAGTTGATGCAATAAAACTTTTAGTAAAAACCTAATTAATGCAGCAATCATGCAACACAATAACCACTTGATTGAGCTATTAAAGAAGTGAAAAATGGCACTTAATTTGGAAAGCAGTGTCAAAATGAATTATGTTAATTGTTATAAGCTAACTATTGCATGGTGAAAAGTGGTATGTTTTGCAACTTTTCAGTGCAAATTTTACAAGGTTCTTATATTGCATTTTTCTAAAATTTTAATATTCCTGTCAAATATTTTTTGCATTTGGATATGTGTGAACAGATGAAAAACTTTTATTTATGCATTTATAGTAATTCAATAGTGAGGTGATTTTAAATTATAGAAATTATGGTAAATAACTGTTTGAACTAAATATCCCTGTAGTTAAAATTTCATATTTTGTTTGATAAAAATTTTAAAAGTTGTGAGAATTTTTTTAATTTCAGGAACTTGCAGATTTTGTATGTGACTATATAAAATCCAATAACCTTCAAAATGGAAAATTTTTGGACATAGGTTGTGGATCAGGAGCCATATCATTACACATATTGAATTCATTCAAAACGGTTAGATATAATATATTTTATTTTAATCGATAATTGTCTTAAGTCGTCTTCTATAACCTCAAAAATAATGCAGAAAACACATTGTGTGATAATCAGGATAATAGCTTTATTCTATCTAATTTTTCACTAAAGTTTGAACTTTTAGTTCAAGATTTCCAATTATAAAAATAAGAAGATGTTGTAATATTGCCAATGACACAACTCTCCACCAGAGACCAAATGACATAGAAGTTGACCCCTATAGGTCATGTTGCAGCATTCAACAATGAGCAAAACCCATACCACTTAGTCAGCTATAAAAGCCCCAAAATGACAAATGTAAAACAATTCAAACGAGAAAACCAGTGGCCTGATTTATGTACAAAACAATGAACGAAAAACAAATATGATATACAGCAACAAACGACAACCACTGAATTACATGTTCCTGACTTTGGGACAGGCACATACAATGTGTGGGGGGTTAAATTAGTTTCTTTTTAAAAGATGCGGTAAGGGTTATTTGAGAATAATGTATGCATATGGAAGTGGTTGGACACTATTAGTCACACTACATGATATTTTTTTCTGTAAGTGCATACCTGTCAACTTACCCTGATTTTGCAGGTCACACCCGGTAATTTAAGATTTCAACCGAGATTTTTCTACAGTTCCCCAGGTGATCAAATAGCCTTTAATTTCGGCATTTGACCCGTTTTCACCTGTATTTTTTGTGCCTTGAGATTTTTTACAAAAGCGATTTTCCTTTGAAATACCTGCAAATTCGCGAGGTATAGTAGGTTGTATTTCTACAGGTGGATAATACATATGAAAACAAAAGTTATGGGTGGTGGGTACATTTTATTCCTAATTTAGCTCCAACACAAAATTAAAATCAGGTAGTTTAGGATCCATGATGTCATAATATATGTACATTGATTATGAAAACATAAAAAAAAACCATTCTATTTTTGGATAGAAAAAAATATTTTAATATAAAGAAAGTAAACCTTGTCTTCAAATGGGTTTATGTTCAATTTATATATTAGTCTCATTTATTATGGTCATTTTCTTTCAGATCACTGGGGTAGCAATAGATAAACATCATCATGCCTGTGATTTAACAAAAGAAAATGCCAGACACCTAGGGCTTAATAAACGACTAAATATACATCAAATAAATATCTTCCAAAAAGGTAACAATTCAAAAACCCACCCAGAATTAAGAAAAAGCAATTTGTTTTTTACATGCATGTTAAATATATTTATGCAGTAATATACATGTGAAAGTTGTTACTAAGGTTGGTTACTTATAATTAAATGTAATTTATATCTATATAAAAGTACTAGTGCATCAGATAATACATTGAGAATTATTTAAAATGTAGGTAAAAAGGGTGGCATGCTCAAAATATTATGTGTTTGTCAATATTAAGATTCAAGTTAAGGTATAAAAAAGTTTGATGGAAAAGATGTTGTATTAATATGAAACCTTTTGGATAATATGAAAAGATGGATCTTCAAAATTTAAGTCAAAAGGATGGTGTGCTCTCAATATCATACCCATAGTTGATTGATTACATTTCTTAATCTTCTGTTGGTGGTCTTGTGTTTGCCTTGAGTATCAAATAATGTGAGCTTGAATTCTGGACAGGCCAAACCAAAGACTTTAAAATTGTTATTTGCTGCTTCTCCACTAAGCACGCGGCAATAAGAAGTAAGAGCAAAAACTGGTCAGCTCAGAGTCAGAATGATGTGTCCGAGTAGGGTGACATGTCTTCCTGAGAAGTGTTACCTTGTGTACAAGCACGTTTAAAATATGGCTCAGTGTGTCTGTCTAGTACAAAGCAGGGTTAATATTCATATTATATTAACATTTTCTTGTCCTGTATATATAGTTAATTTGTCACTTAAAGTTAAGCACTATCCATCATCATCATTTTTTCAATTTTCAGATACAGTGGAGAAATTACAGGAATATTTACCATTTGATGTTGTCATCAGCAATCCCCCCTATATTCCTACTTTAGATATAGATAATTTGGAACCTGAGGTAGAGAGGTAAGCCACTAGATTTTGACAAAGACCATTGTGCTTTACACCTTTTGCAGTTTTTCAAACAAATTCCAACCCTTGGAATTGGCAGACGACAATCATAAGTTGTTTTGAAGTTACGTTTATTTCTCATGTAAAACCCATGACATCACATGTATTCCATGACAATGTCACAAAATTTTTATGGATTATTTAAAACAAAACAAAGTAAAAACTTGATTTATCTTGTTATTTTCTGTGTTTTGCAACAAAATGTAATCATAAGAATTGAATGCTTTTTTTTCTGTCAATTTATTTGGATGTAAAATATTGATTCTGCTCCTAATATCATCATTTCTATTCATCAATTAAATTGATAATAATTTTAAAATAATTGAAGAATTTTTTTATTTTTAATTTCAATTGGTCCATGTAATTTGGCTCTTTTTTTCTCTTCATACAATAATTAATTAAAGTAGGTCACATAGGCTTTGAATACAAGCGAAATGGCTGATTTTTTTTTCCCGTTTCAGATATGAGAGCAGAGATGCTTTAAATGGTGGTAAAGATGGACTTGATGTCGTTAGACAGATCTTGTACTTGGCTCCACAATTCCTTTCTGTTGGAGGGTAGGCAATCATTCAGTGCTGTTCTAATCATAAGACAAGGTTTAATATGACAGACTGTGATCTTCTGATAAAAAAGTTTGACTTGGATATGAAAAATTTCTCAGAATATCTTTTACGAATCCTTTCAGTATTCTACTGTACTTTTATAATAAATGCAATTATGATGGACGTTTATATATCCAGGTCAAACTTTTTTTATAAGAAGATTGCAATCTGATTAAAATACAGATCGTGTGTCCAAGCTTTGCTTACAAGGATCTTACAACACTTCATTTTACTTTCTGTTCATGCAATTTTGGATCATTTTTTAAATGACTTGAAAGTTTTTTTGTTTTTTTCTCTCTATCTCAAATTCATATCAGAAGTTACAACAAAAACAAAACTGTGTCAGAGGTTTTACATCTTACACTTCATAAATTTTGTATATGTTTTATACAATTTAGATAGATTTGAGGCATGAAAAATATTTTTAATTGAAATGATTTTAATGAATTAAAACTTCAAATTACTCCGGATTTGATCATGCTACTTTCATTTTGGGAATTGAAATATAAAATGGAAGTTTCAAGTTGATAACTGTAAATTCGGAAATTATTGTGTGCATTTATTATTGCAATTATTGAAGAATGGATAAAAATGTGAGATTAATCATTGCGATTTAAGGAAAATCTGCATACAGATGTATGTATCAGATATCTGAATACAGGTTCTTATTATTTCGATACTCAACCAGTCGCATTATTATTCACATTAATAAAAACCTCACAATAATTTCTGAATTTACAATTTAGATGCTGAATGAATTCTGATTTATGATACCTGGTTACTTCTGACAGCTTCAAATGGCAGTAAATATTTTTGTGAGTTCACTCACAGTTCTTATTGCTTTTCTATGGACAAACAACTTGTTGTCCAATATCTAGGGGAGATAACTCATTAAATTTGCTGTTTCATTTTTCAGGCAAATTTGGTTGGAAGTTTACCTGGATGAACCAGAAATGATCAAGGAATTGGTAAAAGAAAACAAGTCCATTAAATATCTTACAACATTGACAGATTTCACAAAAAGGTATATACATATCAAATATATTTTCTGTCATTTTGTAGAGTGCATGATGCACAATTTTAAATGTGAAATGGTTTCATTGGAAGTGAATATTAAATTGAAATGGCTGACCTACATTTGCTTGAATTTGAATTTTGACGTGTTTGTGGGAAAGAAATGGTATTACATTTGAGTTTTTATCCTAAGAATAACCTGAACTTTATGATTTTTTTTTGTTTAAAATTAATTATATTGATAAATTATATTGATAAATTAATTATATAATCAAAGAAGACTTTCTTTGTTTATATAAACATTTAAAAGCACTACATGTATGTCAAATAGCAAAGTTTTTTAATTTGTCTTTTCTTGAAAGGAACATTCTAAGTGTAAAAATCAAATTCTGGAATAAAACAAAGTGTGTAATCTCAACAGGAACAATATATAAGTCAATCTTTTCTATGAAAAGACTCTGGGCCATTGTTGGAATGTTTTGTGCTTTCATTTCGGACAGTCATCCACACTCTTGGCGGTATTAGAATCACTGGTGACTTTATTTTCAACTAAGTAGAACCTTGGCAAAAAGTTTGCAGCTTTCATTCTCAGAAGTATTTATCATTAAATCATCTACAAAACTTTCTCCATTCTCCTGTCCATGATTAAATCACTTTCCTATTTCAGTTGTCGAATTTTTAATTACTTTTCATAATCATTAGAAAATTGAAATGTTAGTTTAATGCACATATCACACTACATTTGACCTAATAAATGCTCCTACTACTAAGAGCACCATCTTTGCTTAACTATCGTTGTCACCTGTCATAAGTGAATTCTGTTGAACTGAGCTAATTAAAAAATTTAACAAAGGATAAAAAAAAGCCATAGGGTATATGGCAACTAGGCAGCAATCTAAAGAGCTCAATAAGGGCTATTCCGTTAAAATGTATGTGGGAGGGTAGGAAGGGACTTTCAAAATATCCCTACAACCAAGAACCATTTTTAGATAATTTTGCATCATGGTTATAGATGCATACTGAAAAAAGACCCATGACCCACATTCAATAATTAAACTTCCCTTCCTACCCTCCCACATACATTTTAATGGAATAGCCCTAAATTGGAAGAAGAAGTATAGAAGGCAACATCCAGGCTTTAAAAAATATCTGCAATAGTAAGGGGTATTATGTTTACCAGTCTGTGCATCATTTTATACATCCCATATCAGGTTAAAGCTTTGGTAAAAAGTAGTTTACTATTATAGAGTTGTGGTAACAATAACTTGAAAATTAAAACACATGTTCATTTATATATGCTGTGCCTTTTAAAATATATGTCAAATAAAGGGAACCAGAAGGGGTCATGATATCCCATAAACACTTGTTCTAATTATATTGATTTTTTAACCTGAAAAATGTCCAATAAAGTCATTGAATAATTCTTCTTTTGAAGGGACAGATTTTGTGTTTTACAAGTACAGTGACAGATTCCAAGAACAGATGTTGCCATGAGAATTTGGTGGTTTAGTAAAATTTTCAGAAAGATCTGATAATTATTTTTTCACCTGTTGTTTTGAGATCATCATCACATCTTCATTGACATGTGAAGGATCAAAATTGCTGTCGTGTGTCTAGACATGTGATGACATTGTCAAAATATTTATTCTTAGTTTATCAAGAATGCCTTTATTTTATATGATATATTTTACTTCTAGTATAATTTTTACTTTTCTTTGTTAATGTGACTTCTTATTAACTGAGTTTTACAGTGTGTATTGCTGTGTATTTGTTTATTCTACATTGGCTAGAGGTATAGGGGGAGGGTTGAGATCTCACAAAACAAGTTTAACCCCGCCGCATTTTTGTGCCTGTCCCAAAGTCAGGAGCCTCTGGCCTTTCTAAGTCTAGATCTTGTATGTTTTTTAATTTTAGTTCATTTATATGTTTTGGAGTTTAGTGTGACGTCCATTTTCATTGAACTACCGGTAGTAAACATTTTTGTTAAGGGGCCAGCTAAAGCCCGCCTCTGGGTGTGGGATTTTCTCGCTGTATTGAAGACCCATTGGTGGCTTTCAGCTGTTTTCTGCACTTTGGTCGGGTTTTTGTCTCTTTGACACATTCCCCATTTCCATTCTCAATTTTATATAAAGTACATTAATACAATTTTTTTTTTCTATATCCACTAAAACATGTTTGTGTGTGCAGTATATTACGTATCATTTTACTCCTCTTTCTGTTGATCAATGCATGTCTGTGTTAGTCTCTCCATCAGCCCAATTTTGTATCTTCCTGCTTCACTAAGATTGGTCATACCCTTGACACATGGCAATATCTTGTAAGTCAAGGCCACAGCAGATGATTTGATTATTTGATCCAGTGGCAAATATTGCATGCATGTTCAGGAAAAGAACAAATTAACAATAAATACAATAGGTAGGTTTTGTATTAGAGGCTGTCAGGAATGAAGGTCTGGGAAATTTGAACAGCCACTGGACAATAAGGGTATATTGGAGAGGGACAGAAATTATTCCTCGCAGCAGGCCAGCTATAATCCCTCAAAGTGTTGTTGCAAGAGTTATTGATGTGTAGAGAGCGTTGCAATCTCTTAAAACCAGCCATCAGATTTAATGTCCCCATTATGACTGATCAGGGCTGCATACTTGTAGATCATGCACAGCCAAATGAACACCACACTTTGGCAACTGTTTTACTGCAGATAGGAAGGACACCAAAGTGACCACAGTAGATGAATATACTGCCTGCTTGGATTCAAGCCACATTTCAAACAACTTATGCGAATGACCTTGGATTTTGATGGTTAAGGTTTTAGCTGGTATATATATATATGAAATGTTCTCTTGGCAACTTGATGAAGTATAAACAATAAATGTGGATAGTGTCCACATGTGGACACAGATGATGCCTCCGCTTGCATATCATATAGTTATAAAGGGACATAACTGAAGAACGGTAAAAGTGACACTACCCAAATTTGAACTTGATCTGAGTTTTGTGGTAATAAGCATTGTGTGTAAGTCTCATAACATTTGGTTGAGGCTAACTTAAGTAGAGAACAGAAACTAAAAAATCAGCAATTTTTATATTTGTAAACACGCATAACTCTAGAACGGTTGTTTTTAAGTTTTATAACATTTGGTTGAGACAAACTAAAAAATTCAGCAATTTTTATGTTTATAAAGGGACATAACTCAAGAATGGTAAAAGTGTCGCCACCAAATTTCGTACTTAATCTGTATTATGTAGTAATAAGCATTGTGTATAAGTTTAATAACATTTGGTTGAAAACGGAAACAAACAATTTGTACTTGATCTAAGTTTTGTGGTAATGAATATTGTGTGTGCTAAGGTTTCATAATATTTGGTTGGGGCAAACTTAAGTTACAGAATGGAAACTAAAAATTTTGCAATCTTTTGATTTATAAAGGGGCATAACTCAGTAATGGTTAAAGTGACACTACCCAAATTCAACTTGATCTGTGTTTTATCAGTGGAAGTCAAAATTAAACATTGCATTGTATAAAGCATTGATTGTAGTTGATTCAACTATAATCATGGACAAAGGAAGATAACTCCAATTTTAAATTACTTGATATTTAGAAGAAAATAAAAATTTAGCAATTTTTCCATTTATAAAGGGGCATAACTCTACAACGGTTAAAGTGACGCCACCAAAATTCAAACTTGATCTTTGTTTTGTGGTAATAATTATTGTGTATAAGTTTCATAACATTTGGTTGAGGCAAACTTGAGTAAGAGAACGGAAACTAAAAATTTTGCAATTTTTCCATTTATAAAGGGGCATAACTCTAGAATGGTTGAAGTGACTCCACCAAAATTCAAACTTGATCTGGGTTTTGTGGTAATAAGCATTGTGTATAAGTTTCATAACATTTGGTTGAGGCAAACTCAAGTTAGAGAATGGAAACCAATTTTGGGACGTACGGACGGACGTACGTACGGACGTACGTACAGATGGACAAGGGTAAAACTTAATGCCCCCACCGCCATGGCGGGGGCATAACAAAAAAAGATGTAGAGTACATGTCAATAAGACAACAACCCAAAAACAAGAGTGCATAGGTTGAAATGTCTCACCTGTTTTACTTATCATTGAATTTATGTTGGATGTCTGTAAAATGAAGGTTTTACTACAAGTATCACATAAACTTAATTTTATTAATGTTCTATGAAAATGAGGTCAGATGATAATGATGGATGGCTGCTCAACGTCCAACAGCAAATTAATATGCATATTCAGGACAAGAACATGTTAATGTAATATGAATATTAACCCTGCTTTGTACTAGATTGACACACTGAGCTGGATTTTTAATGTGCTAGTTCACAAGGTAACAGTCCGTAGGATGACATGTCACCCTACAAGGACACATTATTCTGACTCCGAGCTGACCAGTCTTTGTTCTTACAATAATGCTGTGAGCTAAGCGGAGAGGCAGCAAATACCAATTTTAAAGTCTTTGATTTGACCCAACAACCTTCCGCACTGGAGCAGTCAGATGTACATGGCAGACAGGCATGTACATCTTACAATCTTTCCATGCACAAAATACAGTTGACCTATTGCTAAAAGTACCTGAGAAACAACAAACCACAAAATCCTAACATTTACCAATGAACCAATAAAATGAGGTCAAGGTCATTTGAACCCTGCCTGACAGACATGTACACCTTACAATCATTCCATATACCAAATACAGTTGACCTTTTGCTTATACATGTAGTATCTGATAAACTGACAAAAATAACAAAAACTTATCATTGACCAATGAATCATGAAAATGAGGTCAAGGTCTGTTTATTATGCCCCACCTAAGATACTAGTAGGGGCATTATGTTTTCTGGTCTGTGTGTCCATTTGTTTGTTCATTTATTCGTCCGTCCATCAGTTAGTCTGCATGTCCCACTTCAGGTTAAAATTTTTGGTCAAGGTAGTTTTTGTCCAATCAACTTGAAACTTAGTACACATAGTTCCCTATAATATGATTTTTCTAATTTTAATGCCAAACTAGAATTTTGACCCAAATTTCAGGGTCCACTGAACATAGAAACTGATAGTGCAAGTGGGGCATCCGTGTACTATGGACACATTTTTGTTCTGTCAAAGTTGCTCTAAATTTCAATTTCAAATTGTGTGTAAACATCTTTGATAAATTTTGCCTGGAGACAGTCTATTGGGTAAATTGTAGTAAAATCCAAGTACTCAAATTTGTGAATTATGTATTTTATCCTGCAACTAATGACAGTTTTCCAGACTTTGGCAGTTGTTCCATTTTAACATTTAATATTTTCACGGGAAAAAACCTACCACAAGGGGCCATCTTGATCTTTGTGCTAGGTGTCAACACAAACAACTGTCGAGATGAAAAACAACAAGGAAAAAAAAAAATGTTCCTTTTTCACCCTTTATGGTTTACTTTTACAAATTGTGACTTGAATGGAGAGTTGTTTCATTGGCACTCATACCACATCTTCTTATATCTACTTAATCCTTTCTTATGCAAAATGCATGATAAAAGCTTACATATTTAGTACTAACTGGTACAAAAAAAAAACAAATATGCATGATAAATACAAAACTTTTTAATTCTATAAACAGAAGAATATGTTAATAATGAGCAATATAAAACAATCAACACACATGATAACGAAGCTTTTATATACAACAGTCATACTATGGCATGTATAACAAAAACAACATTGTACTTTTTTCTACTTCCAAGCAGGCCTTACAATGGATATTATAGGATCGTAATCTTATGCTGGATTTCTTTACACATAAAAAATCACTAGTATTAGATTTTGTTTTTTACATTTTAGATGTGAAAGGTAGCTCAGCTAAGGCAACAATTTTACACTATGCACCAGATCAATTTATTTCTTTAAAAGATTAAATCAGCCTCAAAAATATGAAATATGATATGGAAATTCATGTTTTGTCTGTAGCCTGTATTTCTAACCTACCAGTACACATAAACTACACTGCATGTCTAACATGTTGGCATGTGCTATCAAACTATGTAATCACAAAATTTCTTCCAAGTAAATTTAGCATTTTGCTCTATTAAAAATCCACTGAAACCACTTCTTTACCTGAGTGCATAAGTATGAAATTCAAGTATAGAACATTACTATTATGAAGATAAACTTCAATTGGTGGTTCACACAAACTATCGGCCCTCATTAGCTAGATTTTAATAAATCAAATATCTCAAACAGAGACATTCAACAATTTTAAAATATACATTCTGAGGTTTGCCCAAGTGTTCTTAATTTTTAAAATAAAGCATCTTCTTCTAAATAATAGGACAATGTACTTCATAATGTTTTCTGTAAACAAAACGAGGCTGCTTATTTTTTTAATTGAAATGACAAATGCAGACATTGTGTTGCAGTGTTGGAACATTGAAATGTACATATTTAATTAAATAAAGATGCTTACACTATAATTAATTTTTTAGTATCGGTTAAAAAGTACAGACTATATTTTGAATGATAGTACTTATCAAAAAAAATTATTGGTTTAGTGTTTCACATTAAATAATGATTGGGTAAGTCTGGATTATTTTTTTTAGTTTTTAAATTCATAAAGCTTAAAATAGTGTCACTTCTAAGTTCTAGCACCAAATACAATTCTTTACCAGAGGTGGGCCATGTGTAATCTGTCAATAAACACTGACAATGATCAGCATGGTTTTGCAGTGTATTTTGATAGATAGGGTTAACATTTAC